TTAATGAAACTACCAACTATTATTTCTATTAAAAATGAAGTAAAAATATTAAAAGAAGGAAAAGATATTAAAAAAAAAGGAAGTGAATTAATTTATTTTTTACAAACAATTGAACAAGAAGAAGAAATAAATAACTATTGTATTGAATGGATTGTTAAACGTCTTGAACAAATTAATTCTATTGAAGGAATAGAATTAATAGGAAAAATCTATGGAAGGTATTGTCAAAGTAACAAAGAACCTAATAATAATCATTTTGAAATTGTAGAAAAGTGTGTTATTTGTATTGAACAAAATCCAGGAAGTCAGGAATCATTAAATATTTTAGAAAGCGTATTAAAAATGGTTAATTCAGTTGAAGGAGGTGAATACTTTTTAGATGGAGAAAGACTATATTCAGTATTAAAAAATATAATTCAATCAAATCAAGATAATATTGAAATGCAATGTATTATTCCTAAAATTAGTAAGTTAGTTATTGAAAGTCTTATTAAAAACAATACATTTGATTCTTTTCTAAATAAAGTAATATACAATTTAATTACTATAAACCAACTAAAAGAATCAACAATCATTTCTCAATGGTATTTAATTCTTTGTGAACTTAGTGAGACATTACAAAAACATAAAATACATAAAAATATTGTTATTCAACTAATTCAAAATTGCAAAGAAATTATTATTTCTTGTAATGAAGATTTCACACAAAAAGAAATTAGATTACCATTTTGTATTAAAATACTAGAAATTTTTGTAGAATATTTAACAGATATAGAAATTGTAAGAATTTCAAATACCTTAATTCAAAAATACATTGAAGATATTTCTATTGTTAGTTATCCAAGTAGACATGCCGTTATTCATTTTATTAATTTTATTAAAATTCATAAACAAAAAATATTTGATAAAATAATTAAGGTTATTTATAACAAACATCCTAAAAAAATTATTCCTTTAAAAGAATCAATTTCACAAGACGAACATAGACGTGGTCATGTTGGATTTTATAATCATGGAGCTACTTGTTATATTAATTCTGCTTTACAACAATTATATAATATGAAAATATTTAGAGATAAAGTTCTTGAAATTAATTGTGATGAATTAAAAACAAATTCAAATAAATCAAAAAATAATTCTATTTCTAATAACCAAAATATAAATACTTTAACAAATAAAAATAAACAAAATTTAGATGAATTTACTAACTATTTTTCTAATAAAATGGATGAAGACTCTGATAATTATTCAAAAGACCTTGCAATAGAAGTTATTCATCAATTACAAATTTTATTTACAGAAATGTCAATCGGATCAAAAAAAAGTTATTCTACTATTCCTTTAATTGAATCAATTCAAAGCTATAAAAAGAGAAATGACTTAATAACAATACAACATGATACAAATGATTTTATAAATTTATTATTTGACTGTATTGAAGAAGCACTTAAAGGAAATCAAATCTTTGATTGTTTTACATGTAAATTTGATGACATTATTTCATCTCTTGATAAAAATGTTCCATATAAAAAAATACATGAAAGTGAATCACGAGAACTATTTCTTCCATTACAAATGAGTGTTGAATTATCATTAGAATCATTTTTTAGAGAAGAAGTATTTAATGGAGAAAATATGATTAAAACTGATGATGGAAAATATATTGTTGCAAGAAAACAAAATAAACTTAAAAATGCACCACAATATTTATTGTTACAATTAAACAGATTTAGTATTGCAAGTGATCATTTTTCTACAATTAAAAATAATGAAGAGTGTTCATTTAATGAAATTATTAATTTAAGTCAATATGGATGTAATCAAGATTATCAATTAATTGGTGTTATTGTTCATATTGGAAGTGCAAATGCTGGACATTATTTTAGTTTTATTAAAAATGAAGAAGGGTGGTTAGAGTGTAATGATAGTAATGTTCATTTAGTATCATTTAATAGAGTAAAAGAAGCAGGGCTTGGAGGAGGGAATAAGTCATCAGGATATATTTTTGTTTATTCACGTATTAATAAAAAAGAAAATGAAAACAAAATTGGAATTAAATTAAATCCAAGTTTGGAAGAAGAAAGAATTGAAATGTTAAACGATATAGTTTGCAATGATGTAGAACTATTAAAAGTTTCAATTGGAAGTGAAATGAATTTATTTGTATGTACATTTATACAAAATATAATAAATTCATCGAGAGAAGATTTAATTGATTTAGTTGATCCATTATTAATTGAATTAAAAGAAAATGGAATGAAAACACATTCAAATGATGTTATGGAACAAACTGATATTAAAAAATATATCATAAATAATCAAAGTGAAAGAAGTAGAATCAGAGCAGTTTATTTATGTAAATGGTTTATTAAAAATGGTTCAAATCAAAATGTTATTTCATTTGTTAAACAAATGACTAACTTAATGAGTGAAAGTACAAAGAATATTTATTGTTTAAAACAATTCTTTATGATATTATATTATTGTTTTAAATCGTCTAAAGAAGTAGAAGAATTTATGTTGAAGAATAATATTATTAAAGAATTAATTAAATATATTGAAGGACTAACTGGAAACAATATTTTTAATGAAAATTATTTACCTGATCTTAGTTCATTTATGAAATTATTAAGTAAAACCATTTACAAAGCTTCATTAAGTAATGACATTGAAACACAATTACCTAAAACAATAAAAGAAAATCTCTTAGAAGAACCAATATTTACTAGAATGAATCAACAACCAATTAAATATATTAGTAAAATACTTCAATGTATATGTCAAAATAATTACACTATATCACTTAAACTTGCTAATAAAATTAAAGGACAAATTAATGAAATGAAATATAATGATTGTCAAAGAATTAATTATGACTTTTTAAATTTATTAAAAACTACAGTATTAATGAATGACCTTTACAATTTATTCAGAAGTTATTTTATATTAAATAATATCCCAACTATTGCTAGTTCTCCTTTCGTTCCAAATAAAACTGATGAAATGAAAAATGGAATATTAACAAAAATAATTGAAGTTAATACAATTAATACTTCTATTATTTCAATTGTGGTTGATTTATCTAGAAATGAAAATGCTGATAATGTTAGAGAAGTTCTCTTTGAAATGAATCATGTGTTAGAAGATATGGCAATTCATCTCTTAAAAATAATAAAAGAAAAATATTCCTCTCAAATTCAACAAACTCAAATTCAACTTAGTTCTTCTGAAAATATTTTCTTACAATTATCAAAGGCTTTAGCTATTCAAAAATTCCACTCTTTCCTTTATACTTCAAAAGAACCTATTTGTAAAGATCTTATTCGTTTAATAGAATTATCCGAATTACGTTCTAGTTATCTGAAAAATTCTTCTAATGATGATCAGGTTCTTTATGAATTGCTTCAATTAAAGAAATCTTCAAGCCCTTCATCTGATTAAATTAAATACATTTTTAAGTTTCTTTTTATTTTTTAGTTTTCTTTTTAAAAAAACATCAAAATTTATTTATAATTTATATATTAATAAATTAATTCTAATTAATCTAAAATCTTTAAAAATTCATTTTTAATTTAACTTTTCTATGAAAATCATTTCTTTTATTCTTCTCTTCTTCTTTTTGTGTTTTGCTAAAACATTAGAACAAAAAAAGAAATTACAAATTACAAAACCTGAATTAGAACGATTTAAAAAATTAATTTCAAAACGAATAGATAAACAACTCTCAAAAAATCCTATTGAAGTAATTCATACACATCATTTAGAACATCTTAAACTTCATTTAACATTTTACAAAAAAGAATTAGAGAAATTAGTACATTCAAAAGACCAAATTGATAAGAAAAGAATTCCAAAACTAGCAGGAAAAATTAGAAAGATTACAATTGAATTAGCTAATGAACAAAAACGAATTAATTTAAATGCAAAGAAAATGGCAAAAGAAATGAGCAAAAGTATTAGTAAATATAGAAAAATGTATATTGATGAAGCCCTTCAAAGAGCACAAGGAAATAAAGCAGCAACAAACATTAGAAAAACAAAAGAAACTTTTCGTGAAGAAATTGATAAAATTAATCTTGATCTTATCAAACAAAAAGCATCACACCATCCTCCAATCAATCAACATGTCACTAAGAAAAAATTAGAACAACTAAAGGTAAAAACAAAAATCTTAATGAATCGAACTTTCAAAAGAT